GATTTAAATTAAAAGAAAACGTAGCTGTGTGCAAGTATAATTGCTAACAAGGAGAAGAGAACTGTGCTGGTTACTTACCAAGTATTTTGATATATAGGCATGACAGGTTTTGTTCACCAAAGCCAGTACTAGTCCTGGCAGCCCATTGGAATCCAGCTCGATTTGCAGATCCTAAACAGTCTGTGCACAAATTTGTGGAGGGTCAGGGAGCAGTTCCTGTCATCACGTACAGTTCAGCCAAGCCCTACATGACATCACTGAAGGACGATTTTGCTTATCATTTTCCAAAACTAGTTCACATTTTCCTCATCACATTCCAGGTAAGCTGTGGCAATAAATACTGCCGTTCACAGCAAAAGGCACAAACAGCATCCCACCCAAACGCTCACAGAGGCTGGATCTTTCAAGGGGCCATGTAACCACCCTGCAGCGAGAGCTAACAGAGGTCACTTAAAGCCAGGAAGCCTGGCAGAGATTTCCTTTATCCAGCATCTGAGGTTGAAGTGATCAACGCTCTGTAACAACACGCAGACTCTGAAAGGCTCAGTCTTCGCTCTCCAACGTTTTGGGAAGGCCCCAGCACTCTGCAGAAGCAGACACATACTTGGCAGCAAATACCAAAACAACTCCTCAGCGTTGCCAAAGGCAAGCTGGTAACACATCTTGTACGATCAAGGCTCTGTGTCTGTGTCAGCACACTGACTTGTGCACTCCCGTGTAGTGGATTATTTTGCAGCTTCCAATTAATTTAACAAGATTTTCATTTTGAGTAAGCAAGCCAGGCATAGCTTGAACTCCAGTTTGTGCAGGTTTAAGGAGAAGATTAATAAATAGTTATCTAACTTCACCAAAAGATTTCTGTTTTTCAGCACTCTGGCCAAAAGAGCAACGGTTTGTTAGGGAAGGGTTCCTGTTTGAGGAGTTGGCTGCCTACCTCAGCCTGCTTCCCCGATTCCCATGCTACAACCTTTGGCTGCTGTTACCAGCCTCTGACTCTCCAGCCTCTCCCAGACATAAACATTTTCCATAACTGGATTCCTTGTTTGAAAAACTGGAGTCCAGACCGTAGAAGGTTCAGCCCATGAAGAGTGTCCTCACAGAGCGAAATTAAAAACGGCAGCTCTTACTTGGCTGCGTGTTCCCCTCTCTCCTGCTGCTGTCTCTAGCTGAGCACAGTGAGCTCCCACTGTAAGTCACAACGTGGCAAGAACATCTAGGCAACCTGGAGGCAAAAAGTTCCTTTGACACTTTCGGGCAATTCAGGAGAATCTAACCTGATTCCTAACTGCCTCTATTTCCATTGTTCTGCTGGAAAGTGTTCTTAGATGCCAGAAGGATCTACCCTGGTTGGGGCTGTTACCTGTGGCAAGCACTGCTCATTTAAGCTGAACAAAAAGCAATTCAACTAAATGGTCTTTTGGTTAGTGATAGCTGAAAGGAGAGAACAGAAAGGCTGGGCAGGCACGGCAGCAAAGCTGCATGTCTGCTTTATGTGTGACTGCTTAAACGAAGCTGTCTCAGTCACCGCAGAAGTCAGACAATACCACGGACCCTATCAGACAACCATAGAATTTAAAACTCTTGTAAGGCTGACTGACACTATGTGACTGAGGATTCAGCAATGCCGTTCAGTGTCTTCCACGCGCTAACTGCAACTAACAAATAGTTCAAACAAGCATTTCTACTAGAAAATCAAGCAACATTCTGTTACCTTCAGAACCATTGCTGAGAACTAGAAACTGTTCAGCTGCGGCCTCTGTAACCACTTTTACTTACAGATTCCTAGTTGTAATGTGAGATTACTATCAAAGCTTTTAATACTAGTTAGGGCTTATTAGTTAAGACATACTAAATCATAGAATGGTTTGGGTTGGAAGGGACCTTAAAGACTGTCTAGTTCCACCCCCCCTGCCATGGGCAGGGACACCTTCCACCAGACCAGGTGGCTCAAAGCCCCATCCAGCCTGGCCTTGAACACTGCCAAGGAGGGGGCAGCCCACAGCTTCTCTGGGCAATCTGTGCCAGTGCCTCATCACCCTCATAGTAAAGAATTTCCTTCTTATACCTAATCTAAACCTACCTTCTTTCAGTTCAAAGCCATGGCCCCTTGTCCTATCGCTACAGACCCTTGTAAAAAGTTCCTAGCTCATCATCACACCATGCTAACAATCAGCAGCACTGAGTGCTTGCTAGCGGAAAGGAAAGGGGAGTCAGAGCTGCCCCACTCCTTATTCTTAGCCAGGTACTAGCTTCCTTACACCTAATCTAATCTAAACCTACCCTGTTTTAGTCTAAAGCCACGGCCCCTTGTCCTATCACTACCTGCCCTTGTAAAAGCCCCTCTCCAGCTTTCCTGTGGCCCCCCTTCAGGTACTGGAAGGCTGCTGCACAGGCCAACAGCCATTCTTTGCCGCTAAATGTAAGTTTGTTCCAAATACAGACAGGCCACCTGGCAGCCGCTGGCTCTCCAGGAAACGGCTGTTTTACCGCCAAACGCTGCCGGGTTGAGAGCCCGCGCGGCCCAGCACGGCGCGCCCAGCCCCGCTCGCCCGGCCCCCCCGGGTCCCCCGAAGTCTCCCGCCCGTTTCCTCGGGGCCGCTCTCTGGCCTTCAGTCGTGCCAGCATCGTTTTTTAACTGGTGTTAAAGACGGGGGCTGTGCTTTCCCCTTTAACGGCTCAGCGGTACAACCCCCGGCTGGTGGCGCGGCCTACCCCGCACTTCGCACTCTGGACGCTTCTGTAACCGTAATTTTTTCGCATTTCCCCCTCCTTGACCGCGCCGTCCCTCCTTCCCGAGCCCTGCGTTCTGCCGACGAAGGCTAAGGAGTGATTTACGTGCTCCTGCTGCTCCTCCCGCTTCCA